AAAAAAAAATGAAGGTAAATAAGCTGAAATGAAAAAGCACTGCCCTTGTCTCCTCTCAGAGAAATAAAATGAAGAATTTCTCACTGCATGCTTTAATGTAAAAATCTTCTCAAATACACATCAGCTCACATTACAGTCCTATTAAGCTCTTAACAGTCACTCCTCAGTATTATACAACTATTTTAAGATTTTAGTTTTCATATCGGCTCCTGTATGTAACACAAAGGTCTCTGATTTTCCAGAGTCTAAACCTGTTTTTATCCATCAATACAGATCACGACAAGGACCAAGAGAAACCACAGAGCTGCAACTGTGAAGACAACCCCAAATCCAGCAAAAAAAGGTCGCGGGCAGCATTTTCTCACGCACAGGTGTACGAGCTGGAGCGCCGCTTTAACCTGCAGCGGTACCTGTCCGGTCCAGAACGGGCCGACCTGGCAGGAGCGCTCAAACTGACCGAGACCCAGGTGAAGATCTGGTTCCAGAACAGGAGATACAAAACTAAACGGCGACAAATGGCAGCCGAGCTCGCGACAACTCCCACGACAACCCTGGCAAAGAGAGTGGCAGTGAAAGTACTGGTGAGAAATGACCAGAGGCAATACAACACAGAGGAGCTGCCCAGTCCGTCTGCTCCTCCATTATACCAGTCATTCCCTTACTATCCTTACATGTTCTGCTTCCAGCCGTGGGTCTCAGGAAACACTTTAAGTGGTGGCTTGTACTGATTTACCGGAGCTGTAGCATCATATGGAAAGTGACTGTGGAGACACAAACAGTCAAAAAACAGCCAAAGAGGAAACAAAACTGCAATTCCTCCGTGGATTATCAATGCTGAAACTATAATAAACTATATGACCAGAGGAATATAGAGATATATACTGATGTTCACTATCAATCATTTCAATAATGATCATTAAGCCAAAGCAAAGACAATTCACTCAAACGAGTTTCTCTCATTTGTAGTTATATCCGTCTTTTTTAATGTTGTACAGTAATGCATTTGGAACAAGTAAATTGTATTGCTTTAGATAACAAAATATTAAACTTACCAATTTTGATGCCGTTTTTACTAGATGTAGGTGTTTTGACAAAGTCAGAAAGTGTCTAAATGTTTTTTTTGCGTATAATTTGAAACCTAACAATCTTGCGTTTGTAAAATGTTTTGCATTATTGTGCTTTCACATTTTTCAGTTTAATATTTGTTATCTAATGCAAAGGCATTCATGCATTTAAGTGCTGCTTAAGTGTTCAAATGTAGGTCTACTATAAATGCTTTAATATGGAGTGTTTAGCTAGTTTAAAAGGAGTTTTTCTGTTAGCATTTGTCACTGATTAAAGTTCTTGTTT